GAGAGGGTTAGAAAGATGAAGAGAATGAGAAAAAGAGAAAATGGGAGAGGTGAAGCTACATGGGTTTTGGTACAGTCCGTTCGCATTGAGGGTGAATTGGAGCTTAAAGCTGAAAGGTATTGAGTATGAGAACATCGAAGAGGATCGATTCAACAAAACTCCTCAACTGCTTCAGTACAATCCTGTCTACAAGAGAATCCCCGTTCTCGTTCATGCTGGAAAACCCATTTCTGAATCCATGCTCATAATCGAATACATCGATCAGGTTTGGCCTCAACATCCACTCTTACCTTCTCATCCCTACCACAGAGCTCTCGCACGCTTTTGGGTCAAATACTCTGATGATCTGGTAATCACTTTCACTTCACAATTCACAATTACTTTAATAATAATCTCATAATAGTTTAATAATACTGACACGACAACATTGGTATCAATTTTTTAAAGACCGAGGGAGTTAGAGCACTCTATCGTAGCAAAAATGTGGAAGAGAGAAAGAAGGCCATAGAGCATATTTTGGAGCATTTGAGAGTTGTGGAAGATCAGTGTTTTGGTAAGGAAAACAAATTCTTTGGAGGAGAGAGTGTTAATGTTGTGGACTTGGCTTTTGGGTCCATCATCAAATATATTACTGTGTTGGAAGATATCTTTGAAGAGCAAATTCTTGAAGCACAGAAATTCCCTCGTTTGTATTCATGGTTTAATATCTTCAAATCTGAACCAATCATCGCAGAAATCCTACCTGACCAGGATCAAATGGTAGCTTTTGTTAAACCTCTTAGAGAACAAATTCTGGCATCTTCGTGAGAAAAGAAAAATAGTATACCTCTTATATGTATGACCACCTTTTGTTTAGGTTTCTGTCAATATAATTATGAAAGTAATAAAGGCTTGAACTTAGGTTTGTGCAAATATAATTATGAAAGTAATGAAAGTTTGGGATTCATAATTATGAACCTACTTTATTGTCTTTTAATGTGTTCTGTCATAATTATTCTTCTAGTCCAAGAACTAGAAACTAATTCTTTAGTCTTGTTAATAGTAATCTAAACATATTAATTAGCTTTAATATATATATATATCAGCATTCAAAAGTCATAAAAGAGCATATGCAAATATCTTAGTGACTAATTAATACTTTTTTTCTTTTATTACGAGTGATCTAGAGCATGGAACTAGAAAAAATTATCTGAAACCAATTTTTTTAAACATATATATAGTTTCATAAAAAAATATTTTAATCAAATATTTAGAATTTTAATCACAGTCATCAAAATACTGTTTTAGATATTAATCGTATATAAAATTAAACCTTTTCTAAATAAAATTCTGTACTGTAAACATTGATCCCTTGATCCACATGTTACCTAAAATATTTATAAATTTGTAGTCAAATTTTGTGCATTAACCCTGAATTTTCCAGAAAACTGTGATATCAATTATGTTCTTAAAAATAATAAATTAAAATGGCATGGGTTATTATTTAGATTATAGAATTACTTTATACAATTTAGATTTACTAGATCTACACAATAATAAATATTCAATATACATTCAGTCATATATACATTTTAGAAACAAAAGAAAAATTATGTTTATATCTATACATAATATCAACATCAGACACACATATTTTAAACTAATATATACAATAAAAGTGTCATAGAAAATTCACCTTAAATTAAATTATAATAAAAATGAATTAAAAACTTTGTCACTTAAAAATTTCTTCTGTCATTTTATATAAAAGAAAATTTATTTATCAACATTTTCATCACCGATGAGTCATCAATGTTTCATTCTAGTTTAACAAGAAAACTACACTATCAAAATAGTAGCATCTATTTCACCGTAATTATAAAAAAAAGCATCATCTTCATAAACAAAGTTTTTATATTTCCTTACTTTTAAGATGTTTTGGTGTATGATAAGTATGACTCTAATAGCCTTTGTTACCACAATTATAACATATATTTTCTATCTTATTTGTCATTATTTTTTTCTTTGTTAACATTATTGTTCCACTTAATATGATAAATTTCTTTTTGAAATTTTCTTTATAATAATATCTACCACCATGATCACTAACACGACGACCAAGGCCACGATCATAACCATGAAAAAAAGAATTAGATAATTGTTGCATTCACTTTTTGGGAATGAAGCATATAATCAATTGAGATTATTTTTCATCAAAATCTTATTGTTTTGTTCAACTACAAGGTATAAATAATTTTAGAATTGTGAAATCCTTTTCACGATATTATTATTGTAAAAGCAAATTAATTACTCAAATGTTTTATTTCTTTTTTTAGTGACATCACCAAAACCCATTATAAATAAATGTATTTCAGCATCTAATATCTATATTCAATATAAATAATTCTTTCTCGTAGTATAGGGCCACAAATTCAAATTTTATAAAGTTTGAAATGATTAGAACTAACACATAAATATTATAATAATTATTTCATGCATGAAACTATAAAATTACTATAACAATATTAAATGTTAAAAAAATAATTAAATATAAATAATAATTATTATAATAATAATAATAAATAATAATGATTAGACATGATAAAAATTGATAAATTCAAATATTTATTATCACAAAAATAAAAATATAAGATAAAATTGTAAACGGGAAAAAGATTAAAAAGAGTCTTAGTTTTCCCATAACATTGTCCTTAGAGAAAAAATGTTTGCAAAAGGATTGTTCTTAAAGAGAAAATATTCCTACTAGTTGTTGATTAGAACATTGTTTTGATAACGTGTTATAAAATAAAGCTTATAATATAGAGAAAAAAAGAGAAGAAGAGAACATAAGAGAAAATGTAAACTAATTTTCTATGTGCATTATTGCTACTAGTAAAAGTTTTATTTATAGATACAAAATGTAACTAAAAAATGATACAAATCAAATAATTAATACAAATATTTAAATAGTGTAAAGAGTAATAAATTATATGAATAATTGTAACAAATTAATCATATAAATAACTGTATCGAACCGATCATATAGGTAAATATAACAAATTAATTAACAATCATTCATTCATAACAAAATTAAAACTATTTATACAAGTATAATTTTTAAAATAAAATTGTCTTTAAAAAATAGATTTTTCCATGTTTTGTTATATTTTAAATTAAGTTTTTCGATTATTTTTAAAATGGTTACACCATTTTGTTATAAAAATTGTCATTTGTATTCTAATTATTTAAGTTAGACATCATAGTTTTGTAGATATTTTTTTAACATTAAAAATCGTTTAGCCAATTTAAAAATAATCAAAACTCAATATAAAAAAACTTGATATTTAATCTAAATTAATTTTTATTATACTTCTGTTTTTTTTGTTTGATTTAAATTAAAGATGAAAAACAAATCCAACGACATATTATATCTGCGTATAATATTATATACTACGTTAATAAGATTTAGCAAATGGACATATGTGAACAATTTTTAGCAGTTTTTTGATGATTTAATTATTATATTATAAGTATAGCATGTTTATATTTATTAAAGCATGATAATAAACTTATATTATAACATAAAATTACGTAATTTATTCATAAATATGAAAGAAAGTTAAAAGTATATATATATATTTATAATCATACAAAAAATAGCCATATATTTACTTTTTTTATATTTTTTCTAATAAAATATTTAGTAAATTTTAAAATATATTCAACAAGTTACCTACCGTATATTAATTTAATGAATTCAATTTTTATATTAAATTAAAATCAATCAAACTTAATCTCATTTTGATCTTTGCATTTGATTCAAGCAAAAAGTTGAATATAAAAACAAACTTCAAACCTCTGCTGTATATTTTATTTCACTTTGAAAATTCTTTGGCGGCTGTAAAAAAATTCAGTCAGCCAGTAGGTTTACAATCTTCACTGAGCTTACGCTATTTGCCTCTTTTTTCTTTTCCTTAACAAGTATAATAAAGGATTTTGACTTTAAAACTTTATATATATTGTTTAAATTATTTAGTTGTTAATAAAGTAGTTTACTAATTATCAAAATAGTTTTTTCAATAATAAATATAAAAATAATAATTTTATCATACTTGATGATTTATGACTAAGTGATAAAATTATTTTTAACTCTCAATATATTATCAATGTTTTAATTATATTTCTCACTACTAAATGAATATCAGTGTCTTTGTTATACACATTTCCATTTCTTTAAGTTCATACTCTATTTTTTTAAATGGTATAAACATCATTAATAGATAGTTTTCTTTATTCTGTATTAATTTTTTAAAATTGGAATAAGAAAAAAAAAAGTTGAACTTTCATTTTGATTTGTTTACTTTTCATTTCTATAGTTAACAGATAAAAGTATGAAAGAAAGAGAATAAAAAGTTGGTCTGAAGAGATAATATTCTTACAAATGTCAAGATTATTATATTAAAATAATAAAAATCATTACGATATAAAATATGCAAGGAATATTTATTCATTTGTGACGTAAGCCATTACGACAACTCCCGTTGACTAGATAAGGGTATATACTATAATATTATGAACCTTAAATACCAAAACTCAAGTATTTTACGCAAGGACTAATAACCTTGTACAAAAATTAGGAAATTTTATCATCAAATAGTATACTATATAAAAGGTAATATAATATTTGAAGATAAAATTTCTTTTTTACTTTATAATTGATTTTATTGTATATTCAAGGATTTAACTTCTCTGAAATATTAAAGATTAAGAATTTAATCATTGTTGGGAAAACAATTAACATTCTAACACATCTATAATTTATTATGAAAATAATGTTTCAAGTAACAATCAATAAAGAGTCCTCCTACTACTACACGGATTCAAGCAGATTTAAATTTTTGTTATACTTTTCGTTGTTGAAACTTTTATTGGCAATTAATATTTATTTTATTTGTGAAAGTTGTGGTAGATCGGATAAGCCCATGGATAGATGAGTCTGATATAAATAGGTCAGTGTTGGATTTGGAAAAATAAGGCAAAATGGGAGAGGTGAGGCTTCATGGATTTTGGTATAGTCCCTTTACTTTAAGGGTGGTATGGACCTTGAAGTTAAAGGATATACCATACGAGAATATAGAGGAAGATCGGTACAACAAGAGTGTTAAACTTCTTGAATACAACCCAGTGCACAAGAAAACTCCAGTGCTAGTTCATAATGAAAAACCTTTATGTGAGTCCATGATTATTGTTGAATACATAGATCAGGTTTGGCCACACAACCCATTGCTTCCTTCTGATCCCTACAACAGAGCTTTGGCACGGTTTTGGGTTAATTATACTGAAGAAATGGTACTTCTTCAAAACCTCCACATTTCTAGTTTTTAGTTTTTTCATTATCATCATGAGTCTGTGCATCTATACAACTATAATCTTCATTTTATTACATTAGCAATAATTAATTCAGTGAACCTTGCTAAATGACACTTGTGTCGGATGAACTTTTGAAGTTCGCTGCAGTTGTGAAATTCTTCCGTAGCATTACTGATGAAGAACGAGAAAAGAGCATGGAGAATCTATGGAAGCATTTCATGGTTGTTGAGACTCAGTGTTTTGGTGATGAGAAGAAAATTTTTGGGGGAGAAATTATTAACATTGTGGACATAGCTTTTGGGTCCATGTTCAAATTTCTTGAGCTTGCAGAAGATATTATTGGAGCGAAGGTCCTTGAAGATGAGAAATTCCCTCAGCTGTCTTCCTGGTATAATAATTTCAAGAATGTTCCTGTTATTAAAGAAAATCTCCCAGACCACGAGAAAATGGTAGCTTTTCTTAAGATTTTTAGAGAGAAAAACTTGGCATCTTCCTAAGAAAATGGTCTTCAAAGAAACAAATGTAATAAATGTGAGTGTTAATAAAAGAGTGGCGTGTGAGTCAACCCTCTAAGTATCTGAAAAGTTATTATAATGTTAACCATTTTCTTTAGTATATATATATATATA